AGTCTCCAACTTGTGTTGGGATAATCCAGGTGGCATTCGACGGCTTGGTGACCTGGAATATCTTTCAGTTTTCGTATGCAGACTGTCGAAGCTCCCATTCCCACACCGAACAGCCAAAGAACGACACAAATGAATTTGGCGTAGCTTTTCCGACGAAGCCACATGGCCTTCATGGTCAAGGCGAGCGCGAGGTAGCGGTCCACGTTCACCATCACTAGCATGTAGATGCTGGTGTACATGTTGACGTTGATGGAGAGGTTGACCACCTTGCACATGATCTCTCCGTAAGACCACATGAAATAGTTCAGGATGTTCATGGCCCAAAACGGCAGACAGACTAGTAGGAGGAGGTCAGCCAGCACCAGATTACCAAGATAGATCTCAGGCACGGACCAGCGGCTTCCCTGGAGCAGAAACACTAGCAATACGAAAAAATTTCCCACAATTCCTGTCAAGCACACGGTGAAGATGTACGGTGGAATGATGGAGTAGACTAGATCCCACTCTGTTGAGTTGAAAAAATCCAGGTATGCTGGGGTGACGAATGCATTTGGAGGCTGAAGCGTCGCCAATGACTCAAGCTCTTCTGGCTGCATCCTAGAAGATAAAAAAACTTGTACTAAAATAATTAAAACTGAAATAAAAGTGAATAAAAAAACAATATAGGCTATAAAATGACAAAAACACAACAAAACTCAAATTTGAAATTACAACGAAAACAGAAAATATATAAACTAATTAAAATTTTTAATACAAATTACATTAGTATATCAGTGATAAACTTTCTTAATCCATCCTAAATTTGGTGTCTCATTTATTCCAGTGACACTAAAAATTATTTAACTTTACAATGTGTGAATGCGATTGCATTAGATATAAAATATCAAAATGGAAATGTATTAAGTTTATAATAATTTCATTTTGGGAGCCGCTGTTTTAGAACTTTAGTTTCTAACTATTTCAAGAAAATGTAGCCTACTTCTGCTGATGTACATTTTTTTCAGAAAATACTTCAAAAAAAAAAAAAAAAAGGACTCTTAACTTTATAATGTGTCATTTATTGAAGAGATTTTTTGTCATCCAATCCACTTTGATCTAAGATATTTTCTTGAAGTCCCCCGAGATAAAAATTATTATTTCAATTATTAAACAACACATATGCATGCCCATGATTCCCTGATGTTGGTTAATTGACCCCTTGACATACAGGTAAACAAATAAAACATGTAACAGTTTTATTTTGAAGGTTTTTATTTTTAAATTAATTTTGATTTGACATTTTTCTGATTTAATCAATTGCTAGCTTTTCATCAGCTCATGATTCCCAATTTGGGGAAATTTAACTTGAAATTATTGCAAATTTTTTTTAAATAAATGCACAAACAATTTAGAAGCAAAACATTTAATAAAAAAAGGTTTGTTGGGTTTGAAGTGGTAAAGCAATAGATCTAGTGTTGAAAATGAAAACACAATTAATTGCGTCTATACCTGATCTAATGCAATGATGAAATTGTGACTGAAGCATCCAAATACTTCTTGAAGCCACTTTGAATCATATATCGTATATACTTACCTTACTTTTTCTGTATTTTTCTGGTGGACTGATATTCCTGGCTTTCTCCTCACCTCACAATCTTCCTGTTCTTGCAGAAGGAGCGTTCAGTAAGAGACAGAGAACAGCTCAGTCTTTACAGCCTCATTCCTCCAGAGCCATTGAGCGGCTGCTGAGCCTGAATCTGTTTATACTCAGACTTTCTCTTCCCTCCACTGAAGAGAGACAGATGAAGACTTCAGAGTAATGCAAACATAATGTCTGTGGGACAAAATCTGATGCGCTACTGGACTTATTTGCTTGTTTCCTTCATAGAAAGTATCATATAAATAATACTAATAGTACATTTAATACTAAAAATGACACAAATTGGTCAGTGAAGCAGTGTGACATTTTTGTCTTCTGTATTTATTATACATGCAGTTTTTATGAGCTCATATTATATAACTAGATAAAAATGTTTGTCAAGACAAACTCTGGTATTGGCTTGACAAAGCCTGAAAGTTTTAAGTTGTTTTAAAAGCTTGAAGTTTTAAGTTTGAAGGTTTTTTTAGTTTGAAGTATTTTGAAGTTTGAAGGTTTTGAAGGACATACAGTCTATCAGAAAAAAAAACAAATAACAAACAAAACAAAAAAACATTGACATTCTGGATGGTTGCAAAAAGATTGCTATGCAGTTGGATAATAGATTATATATTGATAAAAACAGATATGGATTGAGAGACAGACAGTCAGAAAGATTATATAATGGCAAAGATAGATAGATAGATAGGTAGATAGATAGATAGATAGATAGGTAGATAGATAGATGTATTGTAAAAGGTTTCAGCTATATAATATACACTTGTAATGCAGCATATCTACCAACAGAGGGCAATCTGAGTCAACCG